GATCTTCAAGAAACTGTATTCATGGTGCAACCTCTCGGGTACATTGCTCAAGGCCTTTTATAATGCATTGACAATAAAGTTGCACTCCAATCCAGTCTTTCATGAACAAAATATATATAAGTTGGTTGTCACTTTGTTCGTGAGGCTGTCTTGAGTGGATGAGTTATTATTCTGTTTACTCCTATGCAAGTAGATGATGTCCTCACTAAAGCACTAAATGTCAAGTGGTTTCACAAGTTATGTAGCAAGCTGGGAATGTATGAAATTTACTTTCCAGCTTCAAAGGAAGCGTTCAAATATATTCTAACATTAAATAGTATATATTCTAGCATTAATTAGAATCTTCTAAATAGTATATATACATCTTTGTTGGTTGACTCCTGTAAAAATATAAATAAATAAATTGACACGGCCGTCCAAGCTACAAAAAAAAAATATTATTGAAGATGGACTTGCTATACAATATAATTCATTTTTATCTGATTCAAAGGTCACCCAGCCAAGTCATCCCAAGGCCAAGATCACAAGAATCGAGACTTCAAGACTAAGACAACAGATTATGGAAAAATCTCAAAGTTACCTTATTATATGTTACATTTTATTATAAGTTTCTATATAGTATAATTCAATATATAAAACTTATCAGACTTATCTTTTGGTTTGTTTCCTTTCTTATTTGTTGTCTTTTATTTTCTTTAAGAACCTCTATATAAGGTCCTTGTCTATCATTGTAAAGGGAATTTTTTTTTACATCTTGAATCGAATTTCACTTTTATAATTTTCTAATGTTAGGGAGTAATTTCCTCGCATTTAGAGTCTCAAATTTGGTCTTTGGAGTGATTCCATCAGTTTGTGCCTTCCAATCCTTTGCAGTGGGATTTAGTCAATTGTTTGTGTTTTAACCTATGGATTGATTTCAGGTCCGAGACTTATTCTCTTGGTTGGTTATCATCCATGTTAATTCATCTTTTCTTCTTCATTTTCTTTTCTTTTATACATATTCTTAATCCATTTGTTCTATTGAACTTTGTGGGTAAGAAAATTATATTGGTTATAATTATACACGGACGAGCCGTGTCATCTGGCCGTCCAAGCTAAAAAAAAAATATTATTGAAGATGGACTTGCTATACAATATAATTCATTTTTATCCGACTCAAAGGTCACCCAGCCGAATTATCCCAAGGCCAGGATCACAAGAACCGGGACTTCAAGACTAAGACAACAGATTATGGAAAAATCTCAAAGTTACCTTATTATATATAGTATAATTCAATATCTAGAACTTATCCTTATTTTTTATTTCCTTATAGTTAGACTTATCTTTTGGTTTGTTTCCTTTCTTATTTGTTGCCTTTTATTTTCCTTAAGAATCTCTATAATGTCCTTGCCTATCACTGTAATAAAGCAGAGTAAATCTTGAATTATATTTCTTTATTGTTCCCTCTCAATATTTGTCTAGTGCTAGGATGTAATTTCCTCCCACTTGGATATGTCAAATCAGGTCTTTGGAGTGATTCCATCGGTTTGTGGCTTCCAATCCTTTGCAGTGAAATTTAGCCTATTGTGTATTTTAATCTGTGGATTAATTTCAGGTCCAAAACTTATTCTCATGGTTGGTCTGCATTATCTTTTTTTCTTCATCCTCCATTCTTTCAAATCGGGTCTTTGGAATGATTTCATCGGTTCGTGGCTTCCAATCTTTTGCAATGGGATTTAGCCAATTGTTTGTGTTTTAATATGTGGATTGATTTCAGGTCCGAGACTTATTCTCATGGTTGGTTATCATTCATGTTAATTCACATTCTCTGCACTATTCTTTATTTTATATCCTCACTTCTTTCAAATCAGGTCTTTTGGAGTGATACCATCGGTTCGTGGCTTCCAATCCTTTGCAGTGGGATTTAGCCTATTGTTTGTGTTTTAACTATGGTTTGATTTCAAGTCCGAGACTTATTCTCGTGGTTGGTGATCATCTATGTTAATTCACATTCTTTGCACTATTTTTTTTTTCTTTATTATCCCTTTTTCCACCTATATTCCGAACCATTGGTTCTCTATTAAATTTTGTGGCTAAGGAAATTATTATGGGTATAATTATACACGGCCAGGTCGTGTCATAAATGATGTATATCCCTACTAACTTAAGCTTTTAGATGAGATAGTCATTTACATCATCCAACATGGTATCAAAGCCGGGAAGTCCTGTGCTTGAGCTCTACCGCGCTCATTTGTCGTCGCCCACGTGTAAGTTTTGTGTGGTGGCGTATATCCCCATCGCACGTAAAGGGGCGTGTTGGCTGACTCCCGTAAAATATAAATAAATAAATAATGCGTATTCCTAAACTTCTATGTGAGACGATCATTTACGTCATCTAACAATCTTAAAGCAAAATATTTGATTTATTGTACTTAGACCAAATGCTTTATTTTCTTTCCATACTTAAAGTATGGTGATTATAAGTATTGTACATTGATTGTAAATGCACAGTAGAAAATACAATGCTCTTTTTTTCTTCTCTCTCTGGCAACCTATTTAGTGCACCAATGCCAGAAATAATGAACTTTCAATGTGGTCTTTCATTTTGGATAGAGTGAAGTTTTTACATTATGGTTAGAAAATAGAAAGGTAAAATATTGTCTTTCAATGGTCTCGCCACTTTGGTTATGCCAATGTAATCAAGTTTTTTCATTTCCTATCCCTATTCAAGATTCCTCATCAAAATGTTCATCTCCTTTAATCCAAATTCAAAAGGTTCATTTCGGAAGACTTGTATAGAGTTAGAAAAATACACCTCACTAGCTCGAACAAAATTTATTTAAGAAAAAGTTTGTAGTGCTTGTCCTAGATTTCTTTTACCCGTTAAATAAAACTCTTTTCATTAAATAAGCATGGCCGAAGACAATTTAACCTTTTGGTTGAACGTCGTTTGTAGAAACTATGGCAAAATCCCCAAGTTCATCTAACCATTTCAAAGATTTGAACTCGCATTTTCTAGGAACTTAGGCTAATATCTACAAGTCCTTTGGAAAATCTCAAGAATAAATTTTTTTTGTTTAGATAAGGACTGTAGAAAGAAAAACAATCAAGGGTAATTTTTGGATGTTATCCTCTTGCCCATTGAAGACAGAGTCCAGCCGTTGTTGATTGTTTGAAGAATTTGGTAACTAAGTCGACAAGGTTTAGAACCGGAAAATAGAACTTTGGAGGAGACTTTCTATCACGAGGTCGAGATTTGGAATAGGTTCAACAAGGTCATGCACTCAACTACTTTATGAAATCATAATTCTAACAAACTTGTTCGAAGCCAAAGATCCTATGGTCACTTAGCTTTTCGCTCCTTTGGTTAATTACTTAGACTCGAACCTCCACCAAATTTGGTTTCCATGGAAAGTTATTTGGTTTCGAAACGCCACCTACCAAGTGAACACTTCCATTTGAAAATGTATCCACAATGACCTTCCAATTAAAATTGTTTAGATTACTTAATGCCAAATATCCTTTTCTTACTCAAAACTCTTGATCACCTATTTTTACTTTGTTCTTTATGGTCCCATATCTATTCACCTTTTCAAATTGAGGGATATCTCTTAAGTTCAACCGTCTCCATGAAAATTACGCATTCATTCTTATACCAATCTTCCAATTTGAGATCGAATGTGCAAGACTATACTGTGGAAGTCATGTTGTGGCATTGTTTTTAACAAAAATGAATCTAAGGCAAATTGGTTCATTCTCCATGCTTACAACTTTCTTGGTAAATGGTACATTGCTCATTTCCCCTCTGCAGAGATCCTTTTGCTTTCCTAATTAACAATACTCAAGACATCTCCAATAGTCTCCATAAAACAACAAAAGCCAACCCAGGGTTATATGGAAATCTCCTGTCCCATCTTAGTGGATAATAAAAACAAACGGCTCAGCCTATGATATACCAAGTCAAAGAAAAATTATAGTCACTAAAGATTATCATGGCCATTTTATTTTCATCCTCTCCAAATACATTAGCATTTTTCTTTTTCCTTTTTTTTTTTTTATTTTCATCGACGCAAAAACCGCCTTCAATTATTTTAGCATTAAGAGTTCAAATGTGACTGAAATGTTTGCCATCGCACACACTATAGTTTATTTTTTAGAGCCAACATAAGCCTTTCCCCAAAATACTGGTTGAATGTGAATGCTCCATGGTTCTTTATCTCCTTGGAAATAGAATTTTAATATAAACAAGCTTCACAACACCCTAGGTTGGATTCAAGGATATACACCTCCATGGAGCTAACCTTCTATATTAATTAACTTTTGGGTTTCACTTTAAAGTTTAAAATGCACCCGTTTTCACCTTCTATCATGTTCCTAGAAGCACAAATGGTTTGACAGATTTTTTTTTCTGCAATAAGAAGCTAGACTTTGCTGCCTAGCTTTAGGTTTTAGTTGGAGTTAAATAGCTCTCCTAGCTCGAGGCTCATCTCCGTGCCTACTACTTTATCTCATTTCCAATACTATGATTTAAGTCATCCCCCAAATAAATCTACTTGTACTTTTCAAAAAATATATATGAACAAACTGCATATTTCTATTGAAAGGTTCCCTTTCATTATCTTTCATATATCCCTTCCTTCATAGCACAAACAAGGCTGCATTCCAATTTACCAAGCATGTGGTAGAGGAGATATAGAGTTGTATATGTTTGGTTATAATCCCCTTCCTCCTTCTTACCTATATGTATGTAGATGTACCATTGATAAAAATTACTTCTACTCTAAAAATAAATAATAAGAAATGTCACATAAATCTATATTTTATCTTATGAATATTTGCACTCTAGCTTGTAATGGCATGTTCCATGCCATGGCCCTAGAGACCCTTTGCAAAAGCCGACGCAATTTGGTGTTGGCAACTATGAACAGAACCATAGTTAACAACATAAATAAGCACTCTTATCAGCGATCACATATCATAGATATCATATCCAATTTAGTAACCTACAAAAATAAGTTTACCTAATGGCTTTAAGAAAGTATTGAAACATTTCAACAACCATCCGATCGCATCCCAAATCCAACAGGACAACACAGGATCTGGCTTTGGCCATAATTTTGAGTACAGTGACTCTCTTCTTATGAGATCTGCTTGATGTATCCGCAAAATTCTCAAAGGATGACACAATCAATTGCAAGACATCCTAAAACCATAGATAGTGTTAGGAACCTATATCAAAAAGAGAGATGAGAAAGATGGGAGAGAAGAAAGAGAAGAGACTACGCAGAGCTGAAAATTTCACCTTCATTACATCATTATCATATGGAGCTTCGGGTGCAGTAATTCTAGTTATCTCGCTGATGCAAGAGGCAACACTAACTTTTACATCACCGTCAGAATGCTTTAGCAACTTTTCAGCAACCAGTGCATCCATCACCGGAGAAAGTGCATCTCGCATGGATTTGGCAGGTGACTGCTCCACTTTTGATAAAAGCTCCTCGATTTCCTTAAAGTCAATTCATTTCAATTAAAAATCACTCTTTCTCCCTCTCTCTCGGTATATATATGTATATATTGGTGAGGTTGTGGAGGACTTACATCCAGACGGGGCAAGAGTTCGTCGGCGGAGGAGGGAGGCTGAAGCAGAACGCTCCCAGCAGCGGCCAGCCTTTCTTCCAGTAATTTACCGCGCGGTGGCATGTTTTTTGGCCTGATTACAGTGTCGGAATCAAGAAGAGCAAGAGCACAAGAATAAAGAAATTTCCGACGAGGCAGCGGAGAGGTAGAGGGATGGCCGTTGTTGTTGTTGGCTGTCCGGAGAGCAATCAAGAAAAGCCCTAACCAGTTACTTATTATGAGTACAAGTATCCACACCGAAATTGAAATCCACTCTGCAACACGGCAACAAATCATTTTTTCATTTCCCGCTTTTATTTGCAATATTTACGAGGAAAATAATATATTTTTCTTTGTAAATTGTGTGGAATAAATATTGATTTGAATTTGAAATATAAAAGAACAAAGTTTGGATTTTTGAGTTAGAATAAATTTTTAGTTGATATTTACTTTAATGATATAATATATATTATTTAAAAAATTTTAAAGATAAATTATATAATATCCTCTTGAGTAAATTATATAATACTTTGTTGTGTTTTAATAAAAATGTATAAAATATTTCGTATTTTATTTATTGCGTGAAATTATTTAATATAAAATTTGCACGAAACATTTCCCTGGTCCAAAACTGAGTAAATTTGCATAGGTATTTATTTAGAACTAAATATCAGTTTTGAACAAAGAATATATTTCATGCAAACTTTATATTAACACAACGTGGTTTTACGCAATAAATAAAACACATGGTGTTTTGTGCATTTTTACTAAAAACACAACGGGGTATTATATAATTTACCCAAAATTTGTTAGATAAATAATCCTGATTGAATGAAAATACGAAGAAATCGAATTTCGCAGGGTATATACGATCTTGGATATACTTTGAGTCACGTAGATTCGCTTTCCTTATACGATATTTCGACCCTATTAACGCCCTGGGTTACACGAAATTCGTACGAGGATAAAACAAAGCAACACTTGAATTTTAGACGAAAAATCGAGCAAGTAAAATGTTGAGAGATTATTTGGGTATCAATAATATAATTTCGAGAATCCTAGAGAAAGGAAAGAGCTGAGAGTATTATGCGTTACTCCGTCTCTGTCTCATTCTCTCTTCTATCTCATCTTTGAAAATTATGTGAAGATAATATATAAATTAATAAATTTGGAAGTGTTTTTTCTGAAAATATTTGAACTTGAATTTTAAATCCAAAAGACACAATCTTTTCATGAAAATATACAACTTTAATTTCAAAATGAAAAGATTCAATTTATTCATTAAAGTTATCAATAATTTTAATTTAATTCCTCATTTGAAAATAATAATTTTAAAACAATATGACCATAATCTTCACTTTCATTGTATTATTTCACACTTTGTTCAATATCGTATAGGCTTTCTCGAGCGTGCACCCCACGCGACCCTTCTCGAAAAAAGCTCGATACAACATTCCTTATCTTTGAATAAATCCAATAACAAAAAAAATTAAACTATGTGTTTTAATTATTTTAATAAAATATATATAATGAGCTTTTTTTTACTTATTTTTGAATGAATTTGTTTTTGATATTATCTATGTAAATATTTCGATAACATAAAAAATAATATTTTGTGCTACTTTCTATGAGTAAATAAAATATATATATATTGTATTTTTTATAATTTTTATAGAGAATCATGGCAGTGAAAAATGTTGGTTGAACAAATTCAATATAAATATTATTTTATAAAAAATAAAATTTTATATGATACAAATATATAAAAAAACAAAATAAATATTTATTATGACTAACATAAATTAATTTTACAAATAAATTGAGAATTTTTTTAATGTATATAAATATATTTGTTTATTAAAAAAAAATGAAAGATTTTGAATAGTCGTACATGATCCCTCTATCCCAAAATAAATGACTTATTTTTTATTTCAACATGTCTCATTTTATTTGACACATTTTCATATTTGGTAAATTTACTCATTCAAAATATATTTAACCAAATAATTTAATTAACTTCGTAATATATAACATCATATATAATATAGAACCACTCAAAACTTCTCTATTTATATCATCACTCTCCTGAGCCGCAGCATGAGCCTTTTCAAAAAAGTCTCAAAAGGCATACGTGTCCAATTTTATATTTAGATATCGACGGATGAAAAAAAAAAATACATATAAGATAAATTGTACAATGACTCATTTTGTCAATACATTTTCTTTCCTTCTTCTTCCCCAGTTTTTCTCACTCAGAAATTTCATCCCAATTTATTAACAAATCACTCACATCTCCATCTCCAATTTCTCTCTTTAAACTTCTGACACGATAAATCGCTCACGCCTTCTTTTATTCTCCTTGCCTTTCGCTCCTTTGCTTTCACTGGTTGATGGATTGGGCGCATTCTTATGCCTAGGTAAGCAATTTTCTCGCTCTTATTGTTTATTGAAGTTGTTTGAAGCTTTAGACCATTCATCTACTCTCCCAACATCTATGTATATATATACAAGCCCTAGACCAAACTGTTGATATATTGTATATATATTTATATTTATATATATAGTTCAGCTCATAATCTTATGTATATATTTTTTCAGTATATGACGATTATCCTAACATAGTATCAGAGTTCTGCTTGATTTCTCCATGTACAATCGAAAAATAACCAAAACATTTTGTTCGTCTCGGATCCGCACTTCGACACTTTCCGACCGTCACTACCACCAGCACTAGATGCATCGCCGTAAGACGAGCTAGCTGTCAGAAAATATCCCGAATGGCGGAGCGTGCAGCCGCCACGTGCTTGACGAAAAAGTTCACCGGACTCTTAGTCGGCACATGGGGGCACGTGCGGCGGCGGTTGTCGGAGACTTTTGGACCGTCATGCTCGGCTTGTAATTTTCGTTCCGATGGTATATTCAGTTTTTCGGTTTAAGCAGTATTTAATAATCCTCTGATTTTTCTTGATTCGGGTTCAATTCGGTCTTATGCCTGTGTTTCTGCCGATTCGATTTTTGTTGGAACTGGGCCAACTCAACAGTGATATTAGAATCCGGTTCGATGGTGAAGTGGTCTGGGTGGTATTGGACATTGGTTGTGGTGGTGGGCTCGCCCTCGTGAAGTCGGTCCTGATAGTTGTGGTTGTCAGACAGCGGGTCCCTTTGTGATAGACGGTGCAAGGTATGCAGAGAAATCCCATTAGTTGGTCTTTGGTTTAAGGGGAGGATTGTTGGAGTGTAAACCTAAGTCCCACATTAGAAGTTTTGAAAAAAAATTCCACATCTTATAAGTCTCAAATGAACTCCACTAGTATGAGATTTTTTTGAGAATATAAAAAAATATATTTATATGGTTAAAATTCTTTCAAGCATTATATTTAGAAAATTTAAAAGAATTTTTATTTATTTATTTATTATTATTATTATTATTATTATTTTATGTTACTAGCCTCATTGGATTATTTTATATCTAATTTACCTTGAGTTTCTTTTATATATGTAAATATATATAGGCCCGACCTTGGCCATAGCTTGCCTGGGCCCATCTTCAAAGGGGTCCATGTAATCTAAACTTTATTTTTTATTTATGGTTTAAATAAAGTATTGTAATATTAATTTATTTTTAAATTAATTTTATTAATTATGTGTTTATTTGAATTGTATGATTTAATAGGCTTGTCTAGTTTTATATTTTTACTGTGAGTTAAAATAAAATTACGAAGATATGATAGGTAAGCATATTTTGTACTTTTCATTTTTATATGTATATATTTAACTTTGCATATTCTAATTTTATTATTTTGAGTAATATTTTAAAAAATTGTATATTTTATGAACATTAAGTAAATGCTTTTGTTTGGATGATTTTTAAAATTTTACTATTCATAAAAACTTTTTCTTTAGAATATATTAAAACTAATATTTTTTATTTTATATTATACTAAAAATAAATTTTATATAAAAATATAACATTAATTTTTATATCTAGATTTTTGATCTTTAATATATAAAAGTTTAATTTTATAATTAAATTTAAAAGTATTTATTATTATTATTATTATATTGATATAAAAATATATATTTAAGGCCCAACTATTTTAATCTTACCCTGAGCCTTAAAAAAATCAAGAACGGACCTGTATATACACACATCCATTTATATTTTCTATTATTGTATCATTACTAACAAGTATGATTTGTATATTTTTGTGAAATGTAATAGTGAGAATTTATATAGTATGTTAAAAATGTCTTGTAACGTGAAAGGGTCATTATGAAACAAATTAAACATATAGAATTTTGTTCCTATTATTGTAATGGAAAACTAACACCATAGTGAATAGAAAACTAACACCATGCGTAGTATTTGTTCACTAATAATTTAGAACTTGAACATGTTTTCATGAATTTTGACTATTTTTGCGAAGTCTTGTGTTGGTGCTAAAACATACTCTCAAGCTATATCATATCGACAAACTATAAAAGAATTGCATCATACTCTTCTTTGTCACACAAAGAGATGAATTGCACAACTTTTTCACCGGCATACTTTACTAGTTGTCATTGTGTTGGTGCAACGCCTACTTATTCACTCGCCGTAGTATACTTTCAAGCACCATACAACTTCCTTACATTCGACATTTGTTGATCCCTTCTTTAAGAAGAGAAGTCACATTACTCTCTCTCAAAAGCCACTTCAACAAAAATTAACTTGCATAATACATTGTGAAAAGACAGAATCAAATTTGAGTCCTCAAATGAAATCATTTTAATTTCGTTAATATAGTATACTTCAAAGTCAGTTAAGCAATAAGGCCAAAGCTAATCCATTGAACTTCTTATCTTCCAAAGCACTTGACACAACACAATTATGGCATTCATCAAGTATTCCCATATTCCCATGCTTGATTGAACTAAAATAACTTAGTCGTCGAAACAATTAAATCAGTTAAGACACATCAACACATGCCAAATTCAATTAAAAGTTATATACCTGCAAATTAATTTGAAAAATGTCCCCCTATTTGGGATACCACATCCATGATGGTGCTCACTTGTGCTCGCAAATCATCCATTCCTGCTCCCAAGTGACTGATTCCAGTATGAACTTCACCTCGCAAGTCAGCCAGCCCATTTTGCAGAGTAGCAGCTTGAGCCTCCAGTTGATCAAGTCGTTGCAAGATCGGAGAACCTGAAGTTAAATCAATTGGTACAGGAAGGCTGGGGATCCGATTCCTCAAATGTCTGAGAAGGTTCCTCTTGCACTGCCACTTCCTCCGATTTCACTGCTTTATATAGAATGGATTCTGGAACTTCAGGCTTCTGCGTTGGGCCAGTAGGGCATCCATTTGTCACATACAAAATGCTCCACTTGGATTTCAGGAATAAACGGCCTATCAGGACTGCGATGCTTGAGTCCTCTTCGTAATTCCCAGTAGGTTATAGGCTTATCCACCAAGGTGCTCACGACTTCCATCCACTTCATTCTGAATTGAATCATCCGTCAAGCATGCTTCTGAATCCTCCTTGCTGCACAAAAATAATTCAGACATTGCAGATTATCATTATTATGAATTATAATGATATTTTTACAGTGAGAATTTATATAGTATGTTAAACATACCTTGTAATCACAAAGGAGCATTATGAAACAAATTAAACATATATAATTATATTACTATTATTGTCGTAATAGTAACGTGTGTTAAAAAGTGAATAAAAAATCAACAACATAGTGAACAAAAAACTAACACCATGCGCTTTATTTGTTCACTAATAATTTAGAATTTGAACAGATTTTCCTAACTATTAACTATTTTCACGAAGTCTTGTCATGACTCTAAACTGATTTTGTGTCTAATTGTATTAAAACGTCTACGAATAATATGTATTTATCTTAGTGTAATAATTTGATATGTTTTGATAACTTTAATATTTTTCAACCGCAAAATAGACCAATCATCCGCATTTTAAAATACGACCAAAAAGGCCAGAATTTAGTGTTCGCACATCAGAAAGTTACTCAAAGTCAGCTATTGACATAAAGTTATTCAGTAAACTCTACTTTGACTTGTCATTCAAGGCAGCATCAACTTAATCTAATATGGGAGGGATCTAGCTTGACTTATTAAAGTTGTTTTGCAAGATAGACTACAAAATGTATGAAACGGTTGAATAATTATAGGACGAGTACTAAGAGATATCTGATAATAAACTTAATCTAGTTAGACGATGCAAAAATGGTTGTTTTTCCATAAATGATATTAACTTAATATTTTTTCCTCCATCATTCATCTCAAATTTTGCACCAACACAAAATTTATTACAACTTAATACGTACTAAAACATATGTGATAATATCTTTTCGAAAAACTACAGAACAATCGCATCATACTCTTCTTTGTTTCACAAAGTGAATTGCACAAAATTTTCACAGGTATACTTTACTAGTTGTCATTGTGTTGGTGCAACACCTACTGATTCATTTCGCCATAATATTCTTTCAAGCAACATACAACTTCCTTACATTTGACATTTGTTGATCTCATCTTTAAGAAGACAAGTCACATTACTTCTCTCTCAAAAGCCACTTCAAAAAAAAAAATAATAATAATAATAAAAAATACTTGCATAATACAATTGTGAGAAAATAGAATCAAATTTGAGTCCTCAAATGAATTCATTTCAATATCACAATGTGTTGAACTAGCGCAAAATTTCAGTTATTGTATATAGTCAACTTCAAAGTCAGTAAAGCAATAAGGCCAAAGCTAATCTTCCAAAGCACTTGACAGAAAACAATTATCAGCATTCATCAAGTATGCATAGATTCCAGATTCCCATGCTTAACGGAATTAAAACAACTTGGCCATTCAATCAATTAAATCAGTTAAGACACATCAGCACATGCCAAATTAAATTCAAAGTAATATACCTGCAAATTAATTTGCAAAATGTCCGTTTATTTGGGATACCACATCCATGATGGTGCTCAATTGTGCTCGTAAATCGTTCATTCCTGCTCCCAGGTGACTAATTCCTGTATGAACTTCACCTCGCAAGTCAGCCAGCCCATTTTGTAGAGTAGCAGCTTGAGCCTCCAGTTGATCAAGTCGTTGCAAGATTGCAGAACCTGAAGTTAATCAATTGGTACTGGAAGGTTGGGGATCCGATTCCTCAAATGTCTGAGAAGGTTCCTCTTGCACTGCCACTTCCTCCGATTTCACTGCTTTTTATAGAATGGATTGTGCAACTTCAGGCTTCTGCCTTGGGCCAGTAGAACATACATTTTGATCACATACAAAATGCTGCACTTGGATTTCACAAATAAATGGCCTATCAGGATTGCGATGCCTGAGTCCTCTTCGTAATTCCTGGTAGCTTGTAGGCCTATCCACTAAGGTACTCACAACTTCCATCCACTTCATTCTGAATTGAATCATCAGTCGAGCATGCTTCTGAATCCTCCTTACTGCACAAATAATAATAATAATAATAATATATTTTAAACTTTATTACATCATAACAATTTTTTCCTAATTTTATATTTTTATTAAATTCATACAAAAATAAAATTAAACTATTTTTACTCTTAATTTCTATTTCTGTTTTCAGTGTTTTTTTAACCAATTTAGACAAGCTCTTCAAGCATCATATTTAGAGTACTTAAAAAGAATTTTAATTATTTATTAGTTTTTTTCATGTTTCTAGTCTCATTGGATTGTCTTCCAACTAATTCATTTTGAGTTTCTTATATATATATATAAATAGATATACACCCATCAGTTTATATTTTATATTATTCTCTCATTACTAGCAAGTATGAAATCTATATTTTTGTGGCATGTTAGTGAGAATTAATATAGTATGTTAAACATGTCTTGTAATCACAAAAGGTAGTTATGAAACAAATTATACATATATAACAGTATTACTATTATTGTCGTAACAATAACGTGTTAAAAAGTGAACAAAAAACTAACAACACGTGCTTTATTTGTTCACCAATAATTTGGACAACACGTGCTTTATTTGTTAACCAATAATTTGGAATTTGAACATATTTTTCTAATTTTTAACTATTTTCACAAAGTCCTGTCATGACTAAATTGATTTTGTGTCTAATTGTATTAAAACATCTAGGAATAATATGTATTTATCTGTGTTATAATATGATATGTTTTGTTATCTATAATATCTTTCAACCGAAAATTTGACCAATCATCCGCATTTTAGAATACGAACAAGAAGGCCAAAATTCAATGTTCGCAAATTGCAAAGTCACTCAAAGTCAGCTACTGACATGAAGTAATTCAATAAACTCTAGCTTAACTTATCATTCAAGGCTGCGTGAACTTAATATAACATGGGAGGAATCTAGCTTGACTTATGAAAGTTGTTTTTCTATATAGACTACAAAAGGGATGAAACGGTTGAATAATTAAAGGACAAGTATTAAGAGATATGTGATTATAAACTTAATCTAGTTAGACGATGCAAAAATGGTTGTTTTTACATAAATGATATTAACTTAAATTTTTTTTCCCATCATTTATTACAATTTAATAAGTATTAGAACATATGTGATGATATCTTTTCGATAAACTGTAGAAGAATTTCATCAAACTCTTCTTTATCTCACAAAGAGATGAATTGCACAACTTTTTCACAGGTATACTTTACAAGTTGTCATTGTGTTGGTGTGCCTACTGATTCATTCGCCATAATATGCTTTCAAGCAACATATAACATCCTTACATTCGACATTTGTTGATCCCATTTTTAAGAAGACAAGTCCTACTACTCTCTCAAAAGCCACTACAACAAAAATAAACTTGCATAATACAAATGTGAAAAAATAGAATCAAATTTGAGTCCTCAAATGAAGTCATTTTCATTTAGCAATGTGTTAACTAATACAAAATTTCAATTATTGAATATAGTCAACTTCAAAGTCTGTCAAGCATTAGGCCAAATCTAATCAATTGAACTTCTTATCTTCCAAAGCACATGACACAACACAATTATCAGCATTCATCAAGTATTCATAAATCCATATTCCCATGTTTGACAGAACTAAAACAACTTAGTCATTCAGTCGATTAAATCAGATAAGACACATAAACACATGCCAAATTCAATTCAAAGTAATATACCTGTATATATGTCCGTTTATTCGGGATACCACATCCATGATGGTGCTCAATTGTGCTCGTAAATCGTCCATTCCTGCTCCCAGGTGACTAATTCCTGCATGATCACCTCGCAAGTCAGCCAGCCCATTAAAAAAAAAAAAAAAGTCAGCCAGCCCATTTTGCAGAGCAGCAGCTTGAGCCTCCAGTTGATCAAGTTGTTGCAAGATTGCAGAACCTGAAGTTAAATCAATTGGTACTGAAGGTTGGGGTTCCGATTCCTCAAATGTCTCAGAAGGTTCCTCTTGCACCGCAACTTCCTCTGACTTCACCACTTTAAATAGTATAGATTGTGCAACTTCAGGCTTCTGCTTTGTGCCAGTAGAACATACATTTAAATCACATACAAAATGCTCCACTTGGATTTGAGGAATAAAGGGCCTATCAAGATTGCGATGCCTGAGTCCTCTTCGTAATTCCCAGTAGGTTGTAGGCCTATCCACTAAGGTACTCATGACTTCCGTCCACATCATTCTGAACTGAATCATCCATCGAGCATGCTTCTGAATCCTCCTTGCTGCACACCATTGTTTAAGTAGTTCAGTCAACTTATGCAGCCTCTCCTTACGAATTCTGGCCTTCTCTTTCAATTTTTCCTACTGCAGCCAATTCTTCTTCCACATCCGAAGCAGTGGTCGCAACAGTAGTGGCAAGAGTGGTTTCCATAGAAGTGGATGTTTGGACAATTTCTAAAGTAACAGAGGCCAGAGTAGATTGCACAACAGTGGTTTCCATAGAAGTGGATGTTTGGACAATTTCTAAAGTAACAGAGGCCAGAGTAGATTGCACAACAGTGGTTTCAAAAATCCCTATCCTGCATCATCAAAATACCAGATGGATCCTCAGTAGCCACATCTGTTGCTTCAGACATAATTTTGGGTTTCTGTGGCTCCTCAGTAGCCTGATATCTCTGCGAAGTTGGTTCAGAGGGTACTACACCAACCAGATTGTGTGTGAGATAGGCTCCGGCTGACTTACCTCAACTATAGCTTGCTCAGCTTCTCCAGTGCCATTGAGAAGCTTAGGTCTCGACCATTGTCTTTCCAAAACCTATATTACAAGGGCAAATTAATTAGTTGCCTAGAGCAGTGAGGTTTGACTTCTAAAAACTGGAAACAAAACTTACGAATAAGCAAAAGTAGAAATAAAAAATAGAAGTAAAAGCATAAAAGGTATTTATATTATTGGCGTAAATGATCATAAAGGACATTAGTTTTAAAAAATATATTACATATTTATATCTTAAATGTTTTACATTTAGTTCTTTGTCTATTTGTATGATTCGAATAATATCATTAACTATTTAAAATTAACAACTAAGAGTGTGTGTTTGCTATTTCTTGGTTGTAGCCTTTAAAGTCCTAGAAGGCTAGTGATTATAACTTTAAGTGTTTTCTTGTTAGGTATGAGGAATCTTGTGTCATGGACCGAACTGATCAATAAAACAAGACACGAAATAAACTACTAAGCGGAACTAACTAATAAAGCTAAGAAAAAAGAACAAACTATCTAAGTAGAACTAATTAAGAAAAAAAGACAAACTAACTAAACGTAACTAATAAAGCAAGGAAAAAAATAATCAGAAGAGAATCAAACCTAAGTCAATACACTATCGCAAGCATGACCCAATACCCTTCTAGCACCAAACCATTCTCTATTAAGATACCACCTTGGTCGAAACGTTGGAGAGCTCCTTTACCTTCCCCAAAGCCCATAAGTTTTATAGTCAAACCCGAATTTTGAAACTAAACCCTATGGAGCATGCAATGAAATTGCATTATATGAAATATTACACTAAAGGAGAAGTATTGCTATTAAGCATGACTTCCATAAAAAAAAATGATCAAATATTCATAAAATATATTTTGTTTGGTGTCTTACAAAGCAGCACCCACAGACACCTATTTATAAGAGTGGGACAAAGGGATAGGGGATAGGTTTTCCTATATGGTATAGATTATATGAATAATCTCCCACTATGGGAGAACTAACCTAATGGTCCCCCATGCATCTGAGAGGCATGTGAGATGGTCCCTTACTTGTGCATGTGCAATCCTAGGTAGGTGATGTAATAACCAAACAAAACCTCTACTTTAGCATATTCCTAGGATTATAGCACTTATTCCTTAGTTGTCCGATCAACACATTTGAAACTTCAACGTCGGCATCCCTCGACAAGTCTTTGGCTATTGGAACATGGGTTTTAATCGCTCCCCAACTTTCAATCTTCATCATCAACCCTTGTAATTTGTAAAACATGCTTTTTCTCGGGTTCTAGAAACCAGTCTGACAGGAAGTTTTGGAGTTGCGAATCTTGGCGTTCGGACATCCATGTCATCTTGAGAATGATTTCATTATTTTGTGTGTTTTTGTTGATTTTTGTGTTTTTATTGATTTTTATTGTTATGTGCATATATATTGTTTGTAACACATGTTTTTTCTTGGGTTGTCGAAATTGGTATGACAGGAAGTTTTCTTGCGAATCTTGGCGTTCGGACATCTATGTTATCTTGAGAATGATTTCATTATTTTGTGTGCTTTTGTTGATTTTTATGTGTTTTTATTGATTTTTATTGTTATGTGCATATATATTGTTTGTTTGGATAATATTTTGGAGAATTATGTAGAGTAAAGAGTGAACACAATTATTATATATACTAATATATTACAAATTAAAATTAAGTACAATATAAGAATATTTTTCCTTTTGTATATACTTTTTATACAAGTAACCCATGCATCTTCTCAAAAAATTAAAATAATGGTTGTGTTCACCCATCATTTTTTCATTGACACAGTTTTCTATAAATATTACCAAAAAATACAATATATATTATATACTTTATTTTCTCACGAGTTAACATTAAACATAAAATATTATTTTTTAATATTATTAACACGATTTTCTATACCTAATATAATTACACATACATAAAAAAAAAAAAAAAAAAAAAAAAGTGAAAACACCCAATAATAATAAATAAATACAAGGATTTCCTACTTTTACTTCTGCTTAAAAGCATAAACCAATCCAAACAAGTTTATGTAGAGTATTTAAAACAAAAATATTAAAAAACAAAAGCTAGAAGCCAATCCTACGGGCATTGTCATAGCTATCTCCCTTAGCATATAATAAAATGAATATCCCAAATAAATTTATGTTGCGTAATATGATTGTTCAGAATTAATTCAGTGATACAGAGAAAGACAACAATTCCAAACAGTGTATCTATTAGATGTTGCAAAGAAGGCAACCGAGTATGCAATAGAATGAACCAAGTAAGGGAGAGAGAAATAGTAAAAGGAATAAATTGCTCAAAATGTTTAAAAAAAAAAATTGCCAAATTTGCATTCTTGAATTTCTATACCAATTTGATTCTCACTAAACATGAGAATTGAAATGAGATATTGATTTCTTATTAGAGAATGAATTCTAAAGATGCTGGTGAATGAAATCTACATTGCCAAATGAATTATATGCCAAAAAATAAGTTAAAAGTATGTACCTCATTGTCTCTGGAACTTGCTTTCTCTTGGTGTTTGCTCTTCTGATTTCTTCCCGGGTCTCTGAACCCCTTGCTACATTTAAACTTGTCATAGTTTCCTATGTCATAAGCAACAAAAATAAATTAGATAAATGGAAATTTGCAATAACCTGGTATGACAACTAAGATACACACAGAATAAATTAGAAACTGAAATAATGTTCTGAGGTGTACTCTTGCCAAAGACTTAGGATCTTTTGAATTCATCACAATGTCCAATGAGATATGCAACAAATATAAAATTACAGTCCTAAAATAATCTGGTAGAATAACTTCAAATATATGAATAACTATTCTTGGTGGAAATTGAAATACATATTTGCCATTTTTTCTTGCTAAAGATTCTAGTGAAGGCCTCTCCCAAGCTTGCTTTTTCCCTCTATCTTATCTCTAGTATCTCCTGATTTTTCTGTCTGATTGAGTGATTTTGTCACTTAATTACTTGCACCAAACATCATTAATACAGGATGAATCCTTATCAGTCAAGGCACCACCATGTCAGCTTGCTTATTCGGTTATTTGCTACAGAAACATATTCTCCTTCAGGTACATTATGAGCAAGTATCAAGAGGTATCTCTCTGCTAATCGAATTCTTTATATTCTTATCCAAGCTAGCCTCATAATTTTGGGTTGGACATGCTAAATTTACAGCCTGCTTCTGTGCTTCGGATTTGAGTTGTTGCAAGCTTACAAAATGATGGAACCAGTCAATCCATTTAAATAAAATGGACCAACAATCGATCAAGCCATACTGAATAAGTGAATATTTTAAGTTATGGTTAATTGGCGAGCGAGGTTTTCTCATTTGATTATTCTTGGTTCTATCAATTGGTCTTACATGTTGGATCCCGTTCCCGCCGGAATGACGAGATTGCAGAGCGAATTGATAGGATAGAAACCGACCAAGAAGAGTTGAGAGATAGTTGGATGAAACTAATGCGCGACTGGAGGAAAACAGTGTGCAGTTAGCAGAGATTGTGGCTTCTCTGGCCGCTTTATCATCAATGCTCCACAAGGTGATGCAAGAGAGTTCTGTATCTGCCGGAACATCCCGGGCAGCATCAGGAGGGCATAATGTGCCACAGACTGTGCCACTGGCGAGCCCGCAGGCCCATTGCGAGGCTGTGGTACTGCCAGTCTATGCTCCCGGCCACAGAGGTGTGGCTATGACACCGTTGCCCACATTCGATGGAGGCGATCCGATCAGTTGGGTAGCAAGGGCTGAAGTCAAGACCACCTATATTAAGAAAAATGGTAATTATTCTTAATCAATGTTTATTCATGATTCAATAGTATATTTTTTATCGTGTATCCTAAAATCCTTTGTGCCAATAAATTTTAAAAGTGGAATTCAACAAAATATCACAATTTTATCTTACACTACAATAATAATAATAATAATAATAATAATAATAATAATAATGACATGATGAATTGGAGTTGTCAAAATGTACAAGTTTTAGTAAATTATGAGTAAAAAAAACAGCTTGTCAAAGTATGAAAAATAGAAAATGTGTTTTTGTACATAACTCTCACCTTCATATTTGTATGTCTAACTTTCATCCAAATGTTTCTGACAAAGCGTATCATCGCCCTCGCCATAAGCTAGCAACAAATGTTTCGAGGTAAGCGAGAATTGAAGAGTTGCCAAATTAAAATGAAAATAAATTATAAAATGATAAGTACTACAACATTCATATCAATATATTAGAAATATAAAAACACCATAATTATCTTACATTCCTACATATTCATTACAATGGACCTATCACCAAGCTAACTAATAATTTTCGAAAAATACATATACCAATAAATAGTGTCATTTATTCCCAAAATTAGTTAATTTTCCGTTGTGAATCTCCTTTATAACTTCCCAAAATATAGATATAACGAGACACTAAGTCACTAAATTAAATTTTGGCTTTTACAACTAATAAAGAACTAATGGTCATGCATTCAATTGTTATCCCTATCAAACGACTGAGAAGTGGTCATAGGTAAAGTTAACCAATTTAGTTAACATAACTAACATGTATGAACTCAAGCACTCAAGTGTTGATATCACACGACTTGTAAATAGAACCAAAACTATAACAAGGAAACCAAGCATCAGGGTAAATTTGTAGCATGCAAGAAAATATGATACGTGTAGTTCGTAAAGTTGAGACACCAAAAGCGCATGTTTTCCTAGCAAAATAATGTCTTAATAACCATAATTAAGACTGTCTAGAATTTTTTGGGAAACGTAAGTCAATTCACATAATTATGTTAATATCCATTAATGAAACCAATTCCCATAAGAACAAATAGCAAATAACTTTACATACCTACGAAACATAACATTGGAAATTATTAAGCAGGGCCAAAGAGGTGTGTATAGATTGTTTATATCATAACTCCGTATTGTAAACCTCATCATATAATCTGAAGCTAATTCATGACATCTACCGTAGTTTCGATAATCAATGCTTGTGGTACAATTGCCAATTGAAATCTTGAAAAAAGTAGCTTCTTGAAAGACAATAATTATAAAAAGACAAAATAGCATAAAACTCCCTGTAGTTTTTAGAATTTGCTGAAAACCCTTTGTAGTTTGAAAATTCCATAAAATCTAATTGTAGTTTTTAAAATGTTGCACATTCGCCCTCCCCTCTAAATTTTACTTACATATGTTATATTTTAACACAATGAACCGTTATACCCCTATTTATTCTATTGTTTCTCTTTCTCTGTCTACATCTCAGCATCTCTTCCCCAATTTTTTTTTTCCTTCTGCAACAAAAGAACCCTTTCTTCACTTCTTCACGTGTGCTTCTCTTTCTCTCTCTACATCCCTTCCCCAAATTCTTCTCCTTTTCTTTTTCTGCACCCGAAAAACTCTTTCTTCTTCACTTCTTCATGCAGTACTTCTTCCTCTTACAGGTTATTTTCTTCCCCCTGTTGCGCGACGTCTTCATCCTCTTCCCATCACCGATTTTATTTTCTTCAACCCTCTTCTCCATTTTATCAATTGGTGAGTGTCCATATTTTTTTACTATTTTTCTCCAAAATTGATTTTTTTGTAACAAAATTGCGACTCGGCCCAGAGGGCAGCGAGGGCCAGCTGCTTAGACAGAAGTGGGAGGTGGTGTTGTCCATTAGCTCCATCACCAAATGCCCTATTTGTTCCTTCCATTTCACCAAATTTTCACGGCAGTCGTAACCATCCATCGCCTGTTGGGAATGATGTCATCTGGGAGGTACATGGCCTACTAGCCGTCTCCGTCCGTTCCTCACTCGCCTCACATCGCCGCCGTATCTGGAGGCATCCTTGTTGCCACCTCTACTCTAGTGAAAAATACCTTTTTCTTTTTTTTAAAATTTTTATCTTTTCATCATCCTTTATTTTATTTGCAGGCAGAGATGTACTTCAATATTGATTGTAGTCTGTTTAGATCTTGTAGCGAGTGAATTATTCGGTGAAATTTTGTTCCAAGTTGCGAATGACTGGATATTTTACTCATTATTCAGCATGCTTTTGTGCTTGGGATCAAATTTGAGTTTCTTAAATTAAAACAACAGGTTTGTGTTTGGGACAATGCCGGCGGTGGCGGCGGTTTTTTCGAAAATTTCCGGTGACATTGAATTCACGACATAAACCACAAGTAGGGTTTTTGAAATTTTGGAACCATGGAAAGTTTTAGAAAAACCGAATAATCATAGGGGAATTTTATGCTATTTTGCCTTATAAAAGTGATATATACTAAAACTAATGGTGACAAAATAGAACCTCAAAAGTAAAAAAAATATGGTGCAACACATGAGTAAAAACAAACAACACGGTATAGCAAGGATGTATCATTTTGTTTCAAGATAATTTGAGGTCCAATAATATCATTTCTTGCTCCCGCTTTGTATTGCCACATAAAAACCTATTGCATACAAAAAGGTTGACTCATACAAACTTTCATAACATCAAACAAGACTAATAATGTTTTTTTTTTTTTCCTGAAATCCTAACTTTATCTTGGCAGCTTTTTGCCGAGATTTCCTGTCGGGAGTAAAAAGATACTGAATACACTTCAGTTGCTGCAAAGTAGAAAGAAAAAATGCTTAACCAAGTGTTTTTGAAAAAAAAGAAAAGAAATGTATTAAATAATATAAAATTTGAGATTACGAAAATTATGCTATTTGATAATAGCATTGGTTTTTAGATTCCACACTCATACTTTATTTCCTCTTCCACTTGCAAAAACATCAATATAAATTGAATGAAATTTAGCCTATAGAAGCCCCCGAATACAAGCATGACCTTAAATTTTTTAGAATCTGTAACAAGTTATCTTGACATTATCCCAATAGTTAGATTAACATTTTAGACATAAAATGCTAAAAGATCGCACATAGTTTATAATAGTTGGTTGAACTTAGTCAATAGACAATTTATCTTCCAATTATGCCGTAAACAATCCGTTCGAGCGAACTTAAGAATCTTCTGGTTTGAAAATCAGTTAACATCATATCAAAACTTTCACTATAAATATTAATAACATTTGAGATTTTTTTTCAATACAGTTTGGCAAGTTTATATTGAGTTATACACAAGCACAGAGATAACAAAAACTAATTCATAGAAGTAAGAATCTTCACGTTACAACTGAGGGTTATTGTCGTTCGTACACTTTTTGCACTTAGTAGAGTGCGTGTAGGGCAATACTTGTCTCCAAGAGACACTGCCTCTACCCTGATATAAACATGCATGCAAATTTTAACATCTATAATAATTAATAAATCATTCATAAAAATTTCATTATACTATGAGTTCATGTTGTTCCGTCTCTGAGGCCGTACTTTTTTGAGGTATAGAAACGTACAAATATTGCTCTTCTCGGTGTTCATTGTTGTACAATGCAAATAAAATTGTTGCCACGGATTTAACTTGCAAAAATGTTGGGATAAAGAAATTAATGAAGAAACCAACATAGAGTGGAGAATTTTCTATGTGATTGAATTTGGAAAAACTATAAAATGTATAGAGAATAAATCGTTTTTCGTAGAACTAACTTACTGCTAAGAATAGAGATCTAGCTGGACTGATTTCAATGCAGAGAAACATGTTGTTGCGGACTCAACTTGTAGAACGACGTAAATTCTTCAGTTTTTCCAATTTCAATCAAATAGAAAATTCTCCGTTCAATTGTTAGTTTCTTCATTAATTTCCTCATCCCCAATTTTCCTATAAGTTGAGTCCGCAGTAACAAGTTTCTCTGCATTGTACAACAATGAACACCGAGGAGAGCAACATTTGTAGGCTTCTATGCCTTAGTACAGCCTTAGAGAGAGAACAACATGAACTCATAATATAATTAAATTTTTATGAATAATTTATTAATTATTGTAGATGTTAAAATTTGCATGCACATTTATATCAGGGTAGAGATAATGTCTCTAGGAGGCAAGTTTTGCCTTACACGACATTTAATAAGTGCTAAAAGGGCATCATCACCAATAACCGTCAGTTCTGATGAGAAGATTCTTGTTCTTAATTAGTTAGTTTTTTATTTTTTTTGTGTGATTGTGTATATAACTTAATATAAGCTTGCTAAAACTATTTTGTAAAAATCTCTGATGTTATTAATATTTACAGTAAAAGTTTCGATATGATGTTAACTGATTTTCAAACCAAAAAATTCTTAAAGTCACTCGAAGAGAATGTTTACGGCACAAATTGGAGAGTAAGTTGTTTATTAACTAAGTTCAACTAACTATTATAAGCTATATACGATCTTTTAACATTTAATGTCTAAACTGTTAATTTAACTATTGAAATCATGCCAAGATAACTCGTTACATGTTCTCAAAATTGTAATTATTTTGCCAAGCAAGGATTTCTTTATGTGGTTAGAACCTTAAAGTCATGCTTGTATTCGTGGGCTTATGTAGGTTACATGTCATCCAATTTATACTAATGTTTTTACAAATAAAAGGGAAAATTATGGAATATGGGTGTGGAACCTAAAAACCAATACTATTATCAGAGAGCATAATTTTCGTAATCTCAATTCATATTGTTCAATACATTTCTTTTTTTTTTTTTGTCAAAAACACTTTGTTAAGGCATTTGACCCTTATTTTTTTATTGCTACTTTGCAATTGAAGGGTATTCAGTATTTTATGTCCGACAAAAAATATTGGCAAAAGGCTGTCAAGATAAGGTTAGAATTAATAAAAAAAACAAATATTATTAGTCTTGTTTGATGTTATGAAAACTTGTATGAGTCTAACCTTTTCTTATACAACAGGTTTTTATGTGGCAATATAGAGTGGAAACTTAGAAATTATATTATTGAACCTCAACTTACGTTGAAACAAGATGATACATACTTGTCATACCGTGCTGTTTGTTTTCACCCATGTGCTGCACCATATTTATAGACTGCTAGGGTTCTATTCTGTCAATGCTAGGTGTTCTTTTTTTTACATTAATCTTAATATATCATTTTTATAGTGATTTTCTTTCGGGAAACACACTTTGATACCTTCACCATGCAACTTTCCATGAGCATGGATTACCGGAACTACTGGTGAAACTCTATGTGCGGAAGATATTCATATGTTAGCTTTAGATTGTATGAAGAGGCTTACAATATGGAGGAGGAAATTAATGAAGAAATCAACTGTTGAACAACAGTTTGAATTAAATCGCACCCATCGGTAATGGTGGTCAAAGAAGACCCAGCCCTATATTGGCTGACGTGGCTGAGAATACGGAAGCCTGGACTATCATGGGAGGTATTTCTGCAAGCTGTGGTGGCGCGTTTTGATATGCGATTCAAAGGATATCGATTTGAGAGATTATCAGGGGTTAGACAAATTGGAACAGTGGAGGAGTATATTACATTGTTTGTTTGATTGGCGAGTCAAATACCAGGCCTCACTGACGATTATTACCTCGGCTACTTTATGAATTGACTGAAGAAAACTATACGTGGCTCATTGCGACTATTGCGCCCGAATGACCTGGAAACGGCAATGGAGTTGGCTAGGGATATCGAGGACAATTTGTCTATCTCAAGCGGCGGCCCCGGGAATCAGTCCTTCAACACCTCTACGCCATGCATGGGGCCCTCCCTACGGCTGTCTGTAGAAAGCGGGTCCCGTGGGGGCATGAAGGTGATGCATAATGGTTCTTCCAAAGAGGTGAAACATTCGTCCGGAAGTGATACTGGGTTGCCCGGGCAGCTAGTAGCTCGGCCAAAATTCACTTGTTTGCCACCTAAGGAGTTGGCAGACCTTCGAGCTAAAGGCCTCTACATTCGTTGTCGGAAACCATTCACTCTTGGCCATGACTGCCCCTGAAGCAAATGCGAATAATGGTAGCTGAAGGAGAAGAATTGGACCTCCAACAATATGAGAACTATGAGGTGATTGAATCGGAGGATGCCCTGGAGAGCCAACAAAATATGAACGAGGTGGAGGCTGACTTTCCGGTTTACTCTATGGCTGGAATTTTTAGTCCCCGGACCATGCGCCTATGCGGGGCAGTTGAGGGATGCACCGTCACAATTCTGATTGACAGCGGCGCAAGCCACAATTTCATATATTCTTCGCTAGTTTCCCTACTACGGTTCCGTCCAGATCAGACAATTAGATTCGGTGTACAGTTGGGTGATGGTGCCACTGACAGGAATTTGAAGGTGTTTGTAGGCAGCTCTCAATTTTACTACCAGGCTGCAATATTAGAGTCGATTGCTACGTGTTTGCCCTAGGGGGCATTGATATCATTCTTGAAGTCGCATGACTCGCCACATTGGGTGAGGTCTGCACCAATTGAGAGGCCCTAACTATGAAGTTTGCATGGGACGGACGAATTTGGTTAGCCTGCGCGCCTTGATCAAGACTACTGCGGTTGAATTTTGGGCAATATTACTTGAGGGTAAGCCGGGAAAATTGTCTAGCACATCTTCAAAAGAGTTGGATAGCATTCTCGACCAACACACAGAGGTCTTCGTAGAGCCAAAAAGGTTGCCCCTTTGCCGTTCGGCAGATCATATGATAAAGTTGACCCTGTCGATCGATCAATCAATCTACGCCAATTGCAATGCCTCCTCTTGTTTTATGTCAAACAACTTCACCATCGTGTCTTCAACGACCTACGACCGGACATTATTGTTAAGGTTCACCGTACAAATGATTTGCTCGGAAAATCTTAAGCTCTACTTGTGTTTTCAACTAAATTTCCGAAAATTCATTTAAAACATAGCAACCAACATCTATGGCATACTTTTCATTCAATGTTTCCTTTTTAGTATTTTCAAAATAACAACAAAACAAAATTGAACAAAAGCCTTTACCTTGTCGGGAGTGGATGCGCCAGATGTTACGGCTGCAAAAACCCCGGAGTTTGGCCGGTGCTAGGCTAACTCCCATAGATGAGCCGGTGCTAAGCCATCCGAGGTTGAATATAAGTTAAATGGATTGAATAGACTATTCATGTCAACAATGTGCACATTCCTTTTCGGAAGCCCTACTGAAAGAACTCTAGAGTTTAGCGTGCTTGCTCATGAGTAATTTGAGGATGGGTAACCCCTTGGGAAGTCTTTCAGGGTGTGCGTGAGTGAGGGCAGAAACGCGCTGGAAGGACTTGTGTTGACCAGTGGGGCCAGTCTACAATCCCGACATGCTCGGCTTTGCGTATCTTGCCAGCCGTGGTGTTACAGTTAGTATCAGAGCCTAGGTTAAAGGCTCATGCTTCTTGGTTAATAAAATTTGAAGGATTTCGGAATTTCTAATATCAATTAGATCATGGATTTAGTCGGGTCTAGGTGCATTCATGGCCTGCAGCATTTTATTTTTATTTTGTGTGTTTGTGTGCATTGGTTATGCTATTTGATTAGATAAAGCTTATCAGGTCTAGTCTTAATTAGCAGATCGATTTCGAGGACGAAATTTCCTAAGGGGTGGAGGATGTAATACCCCATAAAATAATTTGACTGTTGGTATGTTCCTGAACTCAAAAAGAATTTGATTTCTCTTGGTACCTTAGTCAAAAATGGTTTAAAATATCATGGTGAAGATGAGTGGGTGAAAATCCTGAAAGGTGCTCTGGTAATGATGAAGGGAAAACTGCAGCATGGAATTTATTTTCTACAGGGCAGTTCAGTGATGGGAACGGCGGCGGTATCCCAGTCCTTGGATAAACATGATGACAGGACAAATTTGTGGCACCGGCGATTAGGTCACATGAGTGAGCTAGGGTTGTCTGTGTTGAGCAAGCAGGGTTTATTTGGTGGGGATGTGATAGGTAAAATTCAATTCTGTGAGACTTGTGTCAAAGGGAAGCAACGCAGGGTGAGGTTTAGTACCGGTCATCACACCTCAAAAGAAATTCTGGAGTATGTTCATTCAGATCTATGGGGTCCCTCTCCGGTGAAATCGCAGGGCGGGTGTTCTTACTTTGTTACTTCCATAGATGATTATTCAAGAAAAGTCTGGTTGTACTTTCTAAAGACTAAAGATGAGGTGTTTAGGAAGTTCAAGGAGTGGAAGACCATGGTTGAAAAACGGACGGGTAAACAGGTCAAGACTCTAAGAACTGATAATGGGTTGGAGTTCTGCAACGCTCCATTTGATGATTTCTGCAAGAAAGAAGGTATAGTGAGGCACCGCACTGTACGACACACACCACAGCAAAATGGAGTTGCAGAGCGAATGAATCAAACCCTCATGGCGCGTGCTAGGTGTATGCGCATATTTGCTGGCTTATCTAAGCAATTCTGGGCTGAAGCAGTAAACACTGCTAGCTATCTGGTTAATAGATCTCCATCAACTGCAATTGACTTAAAGACTCCTCAATAGGTATGGTCCGGTAAACCCTCTGATTACTCTAATCTAAGAATATTTGGATGCCCTGCATATGCTCATGTGAATGATGGTAAGCTGGAGCCGAGGGCGGTAAAATGCATATTTCTAGGGTATGCAACAGGAGTAAAAGGTTATCGACTGTGGTGTACAGAAGGTAAAAATCCTAGTAAATTTCTTATTAGCAGAGATGTAACCTTTGATGAATCTGCTATGCTTGATCAGAGTAGAGGTTGTGAAAGTATTGCAGGTACAAAAGATTGTGGTGCTAACCAGAGGGTGGAGTTTGAGACTCCTGACAGAGTTGTGTTAGAGGAAGAGCAGCAGGATAATACTATTGATCAATCCGATCAACCAGATCAGTCAAAACCTCAAGGGAAACCGGTTGAGGGGGAAGCTGATGACGCTGGTACTAGGGTTGAAGATTCCATAGCAGCAAGAAAAGGAAAGAGAAATATTCAGAAACCAGCTAGGTTTGCAGGATGTGTCAATACATGTGACATGAATTCTGTGGCTTATGCACTAGCGGTTGGTGATGATCTTGGCTTTGATGAGCCAAAGACATATAAAGAAGCTGTGGCGAGTAAAGATGCAGAAACCTGGATTATGGCAATGAATGAAGAGATGCAGTCTCTTGAAAAGAACAAGACTTGGGATCTTGTTGCACTACCAAAAGGGGTGAAGCCAGTGAGATGCAAGTGGGTCTTTAAAAGAAAGGAGGGAATTCCTGGTGTTGAACCTACTAGGTTCAAGGCGAGACTGGTGGCAAAAGGGTTTTCACAGAAGGAAGGAATCGATTACCATGAAGTCTTTTATCCTGTGGTGAAACACAAAACCATTCGGGTTCTTTTGGCAATGGTGGGTGCTTTTGATCTGGAGCTGGAGCAGCTTGATGTAAGAACAACATTCCTTCATGGTAATCTAGAAGAACAGATTTACATGTCTCAACCGGAGGGGTTCTACAGTTCTAAAGGGGACCAGGTATGCTTGTTAAAGAAATCTTTGTATGGCTTGAAGCAGTCTCCGAGGCAATGGTACAAGAGATTTGACTCATTCATGGTGTCTAATGGTTATGCTCGTAATCAGTTTGATAACTGTGTTTACTCGAAGAAAGTTTCTACTGATTCCTTTGTGTATCTGCTGTTGTATGTGGATGATATGTTAATTGCAGCTAAGAACATGGCTGTAATTAATGACTTAAAGGCTCTACTAAATGGTGAGTTTGAGATGAAGGATTTGGGTGCGGCAAAGAAAATACTTGGTATGGAGATCTGGCGTGATAGAGAAGCAAGACGGTTATAGGTTTCTCAAGAAAAGTATATTGAGAAAGTTTTGCAGACATTCTCTGTTGATCAGTCCAAACCGGTAAGTACTCATTTGGCGGCACACTTTAAACTTGATCGAAGCACTATACCGGCTACAGATGAAGAGGTTAATTACGTGAAGACGGTTCCATATTCAAGTGCAGTTGGAAGTCTTATGTATGCGATGGTATGTACGAGACCGGATCTCGCTTATGCGGTTAGTGTGGTGAGCAGGTTTATGGCTAATCCGGGTAAAGCTCACTGGAGAGCTGTAAAGTGGATCTTGCGATATTTGAAATGAGCGTCTGATATTTGTCTGGTATATGATAATAAAGGCCATGGTGATGGTCTTGTTGGCTATGCAGACTTTGATTACGGGGGTGACTTGGTGAAACGAAGATCACTAACTTGTTTTATCTTCACTTTGTTTGGATGTGCAGTCAGTTGGAAATCTACTTTACAACTTACGGTTGCATTGTCGACGACTGAGGCGGAATACATGTCAATAACTGAAGGTATTAAGGAGGGTATCTGGTTACATGGTGCAGAGTTTGGGTCTGAAGGTGGAGAAACCGGTGTTATTCTGTGATAGTCAAAGTGCTTTGAGTTTGGCTAAAAATCCAGTATATCATGAGAGAACCAAACATATTGATGTAAGGTTGAATTTTATCCGTGATGTTCTGGAGGAAGACAAGTTTTCTATTTAGAAAATAGCTACAGAGCACAATCCAACTGATATGTTGACAAAGGCGCTACCGACGGAAAAGTTTGAGCACTGCTTGAACTTGGTGAATATTCGTAAGAGGTAAAGCCCTCTCGGGGCATCTGGCAGGAAGGAGACGACTGAGAGATACTGACGAATCTTTGGCGGTTGGAGAAACTCCAAGTCAAGGTGGAGATTGTTGAAACGTGACTTGGATTTAGCAGTCTACCTGACCCTAAACCAAAGCGAAAGGGCTGTTTCAATTGGCAGGGTTCCTTTTAGGCTTATCCTAATTGATAACAAATAGGCTTACGGTTTTTAGGGTGTTTTGGGGTGCTTATAAATAGACAATTATGGTTCTTAGTCGGATCTCTGAATCAGTATAATAAAATCTCTTCGGTTCCTGCCCGTGGACGTAGGTTGACATACCGTCACCGAACCACGTAAAACTTCTGTGTTCTTTATTTGTTTTCTTTCTCGTTTTCTCGTAACATTTACCTTGGGCTTTTTAACCTAATTCTAAATTTCATACGCAAAACGATGAATTGTTTTTCAATCAAATTTTCAACATTCTTATGATCTTCAAAACCTAAGCGCCGTATTTTGATTCCAGATCAAAAATTCAAGTGCAAAACATCCCTAAATCCTCGAATAGGAACATCGAGTCTCCCTATGTACCCAATTCCGGTCGATCTGAAATTCTACCTTCTCTCCCTCCCCTCTGTTCTGTATATATACATACACACATATAAAATTGTTGAGGTTGTGGAGAACTTACATCCAGACGAGTCAAGAGTTCCGCGGCGGGGTGGGAGGCTGAATGAGAATGCTCCCAGCCGCACCCAGCCTTTCTTCCAGTGATTTACAGGAACGCGGCGGCATGGTTAGCGTGATTAACTATTTTTGTTGTTGACACTTCCTCGCACACTATCGGAATCAAGAGCAAGGGCACAAGAGTTTCAGGCGCCAATTAATCAAGGAAAAGCCCTAGCTAGTATTCACAGAATCCACAGGAGACACCAGAAATGGTGGGCAGACGAATAATTTTCGGGTTTGTTCCTTTGTATTTTTTAACCCTGCAAATATTAAGGGAACGTTTTGGCAATTTATTTTTCAATAAAGCGTGCGTTTGTTTAAACAAAATATTGATTGTCGATTGGCCAACGTGAGGTCCGTGGGTTCTTACATTATTAAAAAATATATATATATATATATATTGATATTAAGTTATTTATACAATTAAAAATATTTATACGTTATTTTTTTAAAAAAAATTATTAATTATAAAATATTTATTTTTATTTTTATATTTAAAAACTTTTTTTAATTAAAACTTAATAATAATTTTTATTAAAATTTTGTAAAATATAAAATAATTAATTTTTTATATATTTTTTTATTACGTTAATTATAGTTTATTAATTTCTAATTAAAAATTTATATAATAAAAATATATAAAAATAAATTAATAATAATTTTTTCTAGTATTTAATTTAATTTTAATATATTTTTATATTTTATAAATAAAATATATTAAAAATAATTTATAAATACTGCAATAAAAATATATTTATATGTATAAAATAAATAATTATTTTATAAAAATAAATAAAGAACAAACAAAATTAAAAACCAAAGTGAAAAAACTTTTTTTAAATGTTAAATATATTAACTTTTTATAAATTAATTTTTTGAGAATTTTTTAATAACTCTCCCACGAAACAAACAGACCCATGTTGATTGTATTTTTTGATTAATTTGTTTTTAGGTAAGAAGTAATACAAATAACATTTTTAATATTTTGAGTTAAATTATTAATTTTTTTAAAATTAATATATATTATATATATTATGTTAATATGTGTATATTGTGTATTTTTTTAGTAATATTTTGGTGAATTTGTTTTTATGTTAGGATTAATCTATAATATTTTGTTTGAATTATTGAATGTATTTTTGTTTTGTGAAATTGTTTGAAAATGAATATTTTTTTAATGTGAAGTATAGATAACATAAAATTAATAAATATGTATAATATCTTTACTCAAATAACTCTCTCTTATTCCGGTGTTCTCTCTATCGCTCCCTCTCTCTCACGCTCTTTCTGTCTTTCATCGCACCATATTACCTTCAATTCTGCGTTTAGAGATTTTGCAGAAACACTTCGGGTGTGTTTGTTCGTGGGTTTTAGTTTTTTTGCTTTAATTTTTTAATAGTAAAAATTTGAATTTGAATTTGAATAATTATTTGATATTATATAAACAGAGGTTTATGTGATGTTTTGAATGTAAAATAAATTTGTAGTATAATATTAAAAAAAATAATTGTTTGATGTGATATTTTTTAAGAAAAAAATAATTTAAATAGTAAAAACATGTGGTAAAATTCAAAAAAGAACATAACGTTGTTTTAATTCATTCTTGTATATTGTTATTCTATTATTCAAATGAAAGTTTTTTTTTTTTTTTTTTCCAAATGAAGGTTGAATTGTGCTTAGTATGATATAGCTAAGTCATAGTTGTATTTTGTTCAATATCACGCGAAAGATGGAGTAAAACTGGGTGTGTTCTTTTGGAGAATTTTCCTAGATTTTTACTATTCATTCAATTTTTTTTCCAAAAAATATCAAATCACACACCTATTTTTTATTCTTTATATTATACAAAAAAATAATTTTGCATTCAAAATATCACATCAACATCTATTTATACCGCATTATACAACTATTTCAATTTAAAATTTTTACTATTCAAATCTCAACTCAAAATCCAAACTTTCAAACAAACACAGCCTAATGGAAGACTGCTATGGTTTAAAATTGTAAGTATTTTCACTGTTCAAGTTTCTACTTATGATTTTTGTATATATAATTTTATTTTCCTTTGCATCTCTTTTTTCTAACCCCAGTGTTTAATTTCAATTTATAATTTTTATGGTTATTTGTTTATTAAGATTGTACATTTATTTGATTACTTTTTTTTTTCTTACTTCTGCTTGGAATATATGAAGATTATAAAATGAATTCACATGAAAAATGATGAAAGTAGCAAGGGTGTAGATGACAAAAGTATGGTGGATCTTATAGTTGCGTCCGAGTTCAATGGTGAAATTCAATTACTGATTGTGAATAGACGAACACGCTTAATGAATATTATTTTCTCTAACATCATTAAGAAGTGGGATGAAGTTAGTTTGATGTTAGTAAAATTGTATTACAAAATGTCATTTCAGACATTGCCTATTTATTTATAGAATGATGACGATGTTGCAAATATGTGTCGAATACATTTCATGTTGAAGATGACTATTTGTAGCATAATAACTACAACTATAACGATAACGCTTGGAAGTCACAAACAAAGATTGGTTATTTCATGATGAACAAACTACACATTAAAAATATTGAATTTTATATTTTATAACTTTTATTGATTTTTTATGTAGGAAAAACAACAAGACGAGCATTGAATTTGGTGTTCAAAAAAATAACAAATGAAACAAATACAATTTAAGGATTGCTTTACTGCATCACGGATGTTGGACAATCATTTGACAATGCTGATGAGTTTAAAAAGCCTTTGAAGAACTTTTGCAATCCAAAAGTCATTAAGTATCAAAGTAATGACAAGAAAAAAATCATTGTTGTTTGTAGTGAAAGTTATTGCAAATGAAGGATATAAGCTTTATTCCATGTAGATCAATTATATTCTATCCGAACATGCATATTGGACCATACTTAGGGGTTGGACAATCTACAGGATCGTGGACATCCAAAGTCCAACTTTAATTGGGTATCTAATATTGTAAATGAGAAACTGAGGAATAATACAAATTACAAGCTATGTGAAGTAATAAAAGACATCCAAAGAGAGTTTGGTGTTAAATTACCGTACTATAATGTTTTGTCTGTTTTTATTGATTTTTTGGTTTTGCCACCGTATTTGAATGCAACCGAACGTAAACTTCAACGAGGAACTCATATTCACCAAATTAAGAGAAAAATCATCAATATTACAACGTCATTTTCATGCCAAATATAAATGTATATGTAAATATACATATTGTTATTATATAAATATATATGTTGTTTATAAATATTAGTCAAGTATAAATGTAAATATATATGTAAATAAATATCTAATCATAAAAGTTATTTATAAGTATTGTATATATAAGTATATATATAATGTATACGTGAATGTTTATGTACGTAAATTCAAGAAAAATTCTCGACAATATAATGTCATTTTTCATGCCAAGTGTGCTTTCACAATTCCAAAATCTACTTCCATCGCCACCTTTCACGTGGGCACAAGAAAAAAACTATTTTGAACATGTAGTATTGGTTAAGCACGATAAGGGAGTGAAATTGCTTTAAATTATGGCACGCGGAAGGTTGTATCTACAATAGAAGGTAGTTATACTTATACAAACTCAAAGTTGTACCTATATAGCTGCACTTGGCTTTTCGAAATGTTGTACATGTACTTGAAAAATACATATTTTTTTGCGGAAACACAGCAGAAACATGTTGTGTTTCCAACAATACGGGTATTTTCTTGGCTAAAATTTGTCGTTTTCAACGGAAACATAACATGTTTTGATAGCTCGAAATCGCATGCATTTTATATTCATATTATATGCGATATTTGATTGATTTTGATTGGATTCTATCTAATTTCTATGCATATTGTTTGTTTCTGACAAGCAGGACAAAAAAAGCATAATTGGTGAATTCAGAAAAAAATAAAGAAAAAATCAGCATTAGACAATCAAGTTACCCTATTTACATGAGAATTTAAATGAAGGCCCAAAAGCCCAATTGCTACAAAAATTAGGGCAAAATTAAATAAAAAGAAATGGGAGTCACACTAGAAAGCAATAAGGACGGCTAGAAGGTACAGGAGCAGAAGACTGACAGATTCATAGATCGTGCAGGAGCAAATCGACAGAGAAAATTTCCTTTTAGACTATGAATTTATCTTTTCTTATTGTTCTTTCTTATTTGATTGTAGAGTATATATTTTTCTGGTTCGAGGGATGCTAATATTTTGGTTCTTGTGTTTTGGAGATTTTTGACTTTCTTTATAAAAGTTCTTCTTGATTATCAATATTTATTTAATCCAGAGAATAATGTTTGTAATTGTTAGATTGATTGGATATTTTGGTACCAATAATTAAATTGGTTTGATAATCTAAAGTCAATTAATGTATGATATCCGTAATTATATTCGCACTTGAATAGGTGACAACCGGGTTGAATAGTTCATTTAATTTCCAAGGGTTAAACAATCAAATCTAATTGCTTCTCTTAGGGTAGTAATTATTTTGAATTGGGATTTCTAAATTAGAATGCGATTAGACAATATTTCCTATGGACATACCTAAATTTATTAGCTTAATTAGAGATAGTTAACGTCCGTACCTTAACTACCTACACTGTAAGGAAAAATTGGTTGTCAGTGTTTGTTGATAATTATAACCAATTTATTGATAGTCCAATAACAATTAACTTTATTGAATTGATGATGAAAATACAAGTATCATAACTGCATCATCCATTGAGTGAGACATCCCCTTAATAGCTAGTTCTTCGTTAATTTAATTGCTTTGTTATTTTATCTTCATTAGAAAATAAAAGAAAATTGTTCCATGTATTTTCTGCATTAGAACTTGAAAGAGTGAATCACACAATTCATGTGGAGACAATCCATTCCCCTATATTACATTAAATTGTGATCATAAAATAGGTCAAATATTTGATTAACCATGCGACCGGTTATGTTTCCGCGAGTTACTGGAAACATGTTGTGTTTTCTCTGAACACAACAAGTTTTAAGACTATATATCTGTAAATTTTTTTAGCTGATAATATCATATTTTTAAGAGATAACATTATAACTTTTAGTGGATTTGATGACAAATGTCTCGATTATTTAAGATAATTTTCCGATGCACTGCTAAACCAAATTCAAACTCAAGTGAAAACCCCAAATAATTTAGGGTAAATATTTAATTAACGAGAATAAAATGTTTACAACATATACAATGGTGAATACTGCACCACCAGTGCACACAATTTGACCCTACTAAAAAGACTTGACCGCATTCAGAATACATTTCGTAATAATTACCTGATAATCATTAACAACCATTTATTCTATTTTCTTTTGATTAATTTTTTCTTTCATAGATTTTTTACAAACACAACACAATATGTATTCAACAAACATACACACAAACTAATACCTTGTGATAATATTTTGAATATTTTCAATATAAATTAACCAAACAAAATACCTACGTATAAGAAATATGAATATATAGAATACAATAAATAAGTAAGTAATACTACAAAATAAAATTAAAATTAGAAATAACATAAAATTTAAAACACACACTTACTTTTGACGGGGAGCCATTGTGGGCGGGGCGGGTGGATGGCGAGGTGGTGACAGCAGTTGCGGTGGCGGTTGTGGTCGAACAAACACCGTTAGGGCAAGAGAGTGTCGCACACAAGTTAAAGATTTTGAATATGCTTGATAATTTTGTAAGTTGGTGTTTTGTAGACGAATAAAAATGAAATTTTGGAGTTAAAAAAATTATAAATATGTATAAAGAAAGTTTTGGGAAAAGAAAATAAGATGAGAGTTTTAGAAAAGTTTTTTTATAATCTAAGTATTTATCTTCAATTAATCATTTTTTTTGTTAGAAATTAGAAAAAATTTTATTCTAATTTGGAAGATAAGAGGATTTAATCTTTTGTGTGTTTTTTATTATAAGTTGAGTCACACTCTTATTTTTTTTTTCATTTATCAGTATTATTTTACGATCAATATCATTATTCAAAATTTAGAAATTATGAGTTTATTTACTCAATTTATTTTTGAATGACACGATTCTTCACAAATATTATAAAAAAATATAATATAGTATATACTCCCTCCGTCAACTAGTAAACTTTTTGTTTGACTTTTGCATGCAGATTAAAGTAAATTAGTATTTTATAAATATATAGCGTAATAAAGTAGTGTATTATCCATTTTACCATTAACATTAAAGTAAAAGTAGTGTAAAAAAAAATAAAAGTATTTTGATATTTAGTGAAAAAGTAAATGAAAAGTTTTAACTTGGACAAACTACCAGAGTAAACTAGAAAGTTTACTCTTGGATGGAAAAAATAATATTTATACTCCATTCACTTATAAAAAGTAAGCAATTCAATACAATGATATTTTTTACTATATTATTGACACTTTTCATATCTAACATTAAAAAGATACATTCATAAAAAAAATATATAAAAAAGAAACATATTATATTATTATTATTATTTATTTTTTTATCTTTTTTTTTTTTCAAATTAAACACATTTCCATTATTCGCAAATAGAAATGTGTTTCTTTCTTTCAAACTTATCTAAAGAAAAAATGCCTAGTAGAATAGTCTAAGGTTTCCGTTTATGATTTATTTATTTTTTTGCTGATTTTTTTATATAATTAATTAAAGTTTAGATTTAATTTATATATTATACTAAAATCAAATTTTTAGAATTTTTATAATAGATAGATTAAAAATTTTAATTTATTTTTATATACTTTTTTTAAAAAAATTAAATCCTTAGGAAAAAATATATTTACTTTAACAATACATTATTTTTATAGTTTTGACAGTTTTAAAATATTTTTTTAATTTTATTACATTATAATATTTTTTTTAGAAATCTTATATATATATAATTTCATTAAAAAATAATTAATTTTTACTTTTAATTTTATTTTTTGAACGTATGGACATATAATTTTTTAAACTAATTCAGACAAATTCTTCAGGCATCATATTTAGACAACTTAAAAAATTTTATTTATTTGTTATTTATTTTCATGTTGCTAGTCTCATTGGATTGTTTTCCAACTAATTTATCTTGAGTTTTCTTTTTCTATAACTTTATCTTGATTTTTTTTTTTATAACGTTATCTTGAGTTTCTTTTATATGTATATATACATCCGTTTATATTTTCTATAATTGTATCATTACTAGCAAGTACAATATGTATATTTTGTGGCATTTTAGTGAGAATTTATACAATATGTTCAACATGCCTTGTAACTACATAGGGTTATCAAAAAAAATTAAGAATGTAATTGTATTATTATAACAATAATGTGTGTTAAAAAGTGAACAAAAACCTAACATCATATGCTCTTTTTGTTCACTAGTAAATAGTAATGTAGAATTGGATCAAATATTTATGATTAATATATATATCTCCTTTTTTTAATGTAATTTAATATGTCTTGATATTTTTAATATTTTTCAACCGTAAAGTTTAACAATCATCCACATTTTAGAGTATGAACAAGAAGGCCAAAATTCAATATCTACATATCGCAATGTTGTTCTCGCGAATCGCAAAGTCACTTAAAGTCGAGTCGGCTACTAACATGAAGTTCTTCAATGAACTCTAGCTTGATTTATTAAAGTAGTGCTAGATAGATTAGAAAAGGGACGAAAAAGTTGAATAATTAAAGGATGAGCGCTAAGACATATGTGATATAATAAACTTAATCTAGCTAGACGATGCAAAAATGGTTATTTTTGCATAAATGATACTAACTTCATTTTGGTTTTCTCCATCGTTCATCTCAAGCTTTCACAAACACATAATAAATTTATTATAACTTAATAAGTACTCAAACATATGTGATAATAAAATTCGAAAAACTCTAGAAGAATTGCATCATACTCTTCTTTGTCTCACAAAGAGAAGAATTGCACAACGTTTTCCCCCAGGTTCAGTTTATTGGCTGTCATTGTGTTGGTGCAACACCTATGGATTCATTCGCCATAATATACTTTCAAGAAACATACAACTTCCTTACATTCGACATTTGTTGATCCCATCTTTAAGACGGCAAGTCACATTACTTCTTGCTCAAAAGCTACTTCAACATAAATAAACCTGCATAATACAATTGTGAGAAAATAGAATCAAATTTGAGTCCTCAAATGAATTCATTTTAAACTCTTAATGTGCTAACTAACACTTGCAGAAGAATTCAATTATCGAATATAGTCAACTTCAAAGTCAGTCAAGCAATAAGGCCAAATCTAATCCATTGAACTACTCATCTTCCAAAGCACTTGACACAACACGATCATCAGCATTCATCAAGAATGCATAGATCCCATATTCCCATGCTTGACAGAACTAAAACAACTTATGCCAAATTAAATTCAAAGTAATATACCTGCAAATTACTTTGCAAAATGTCCGCTAATTTGGGATACCACATCCATGATGGTGCTCAATTGTGCTCGTAAATCATCCATTCCTGCTCCCAGGTGACTGATTCCAGAATGAACTTCACCTCGCAAGTCAGCCAGCCCATTTTGCAGAGCAGCAGCTTGAGCCTCCAGTTGATCAAGTCGTTGCAAGATCGCAGAACCTGAAGTTAAACCAATTGGTACCGAAGGTTGGGGATCCGATTCCTCAAATGTCTGAAAAGGTTCTTCTTGCACTGCCACATCCTCCGACTTCACTGCTTTATGTAGAATGGATTCTGGAACTTCAAGCTTCTGCGTTGGGCCAGTAGAGCATACATTTCGATCACATACAAAATGCTCCACTTGGATTTCAGGAATAAATGGCCTATCAGGACTGCGATGCCTGAGTCCTCTTCGTAATTCCCAGTAGGTTATACGCGTATCCAATAAGGTACTCACGACTTCCGTCAACATCATTCTGAATTGAATCATCCGTCGAGCATGCTTCTGAATCCTCCTTGCTGTACGCCATCGCTTAAGCAGTTCAGTCAACTTATGCAACCTCTCCTTACGAATTCTGGCCTTCTCTTTCAGTTTTTCCAATGCAGCTTTCTTGGCAGACACAGCAGCCTCCTGTTCTTCCAAGGCTCGTTCTGCTGCGGCCAATTCTTCTTCCACATCCCAAGCAGTGGTCACAACCGTAGTGGATGTTTGGACGATTTCTAAATGAACAGAGGCTGGAGTAGATTGCCCAACAGCGGTTTTATAAATCTGCCTACTATCCTGCATCATCAAATTACCAGATGGATCCTCAGTAGCCACATCTGTTGCTTCAGACGTAATTTTGGGTTTCTGTGGCTCTTCAGTAGCCTGATATCTCTGCGAAGTTGGTTCAGAGGGTGCTACACCGACCAGATTGTGTTGTGAGATAGGCTCCGGCTGACTTACCTCAACTATAGCTTGCTCAGCTTCTCCAGTGCCCTCAACCATTGTCTTTCCAAAACCTATATTACAAGGAAACAAATTAATTAGTTGCCTAGAGCAGTTAGGTTGACTCCTAAAAACAATGGAAGCAAAACTAATTAATAAGCAAAAGTAGAAATAAACAATGGAAGTAAAAGCTTAAAAGGTATGTACATTATTGGTGTAAATAATCATTAAGGGCATTATTTTAAAAAAATATATTGTATATTTATATCTTAATCTTTTATATTTAGTTCTCAATATATTTGTATGATTCGAATAATATCACTAACTATTTAAAATTAACAACTAAGTGTGTGTTTGTTAGTGATTATAATTTTAAATGTTTTGTTGTTAGGTATCTCGTGCCATGAACCAAATTAATCAAAAACACAGACACGAAATAACCTACTAAGCAAAACTAACTAATAAAGCAAGAAGAAAGAACAAACTAGCTAGATGAACTAAATAAGCAAGAAAAAGGGAAACGAAACTAATAAAGCAAGAAAAAAAATAATCGAAAGAGAATCAAACCTGAGTCAATACTATCGCAAGCATGACCCATACCCTTCTAGCACCGAACCATCCTCTACGAATGCACCACCTCGGTCGACACTTTGGAAAGCCCCTTCACCTTCCCGAAATATCACGAACTTGAAGATTTATACCAAAACCCGAATTTTGAAACTAAACTCCACGGAGTATGCAATAAAATTGCATTTAATGAAATATTAAACTAAAAGAGAAGTATTGCTATCAAGCATAACTTCCATAAAAATAAATGATCATAAATAATCAAATATTCATAAAAAGATATTTTGTTTGGTGTCTTATAAACCACCCAAATGCATCTATTTATAGAAGTGAGAGAAGGTGACAGCGGATAGATTTTCCTATGTGGGAGAGATTATTTGAATAATTTTCCAATGTGGGACAACAAGCATAATGCATGTGAGAGCCATGTGAGATGTCCCCCATAAGTGCGTGTACAATCCTAGGTAAGTAATGTAATAACTAAACAAAACCTCTTCTTTAGCATATTTATGGGATTATAATCATTCTTCCATAGTTGTTCGATTGACGGATTTGAAACTCCAACATCGCTATTGGAACATGGGCTTCAATTGCTCCTGGACTTTCAATCTTCATCATCAACCCTTCTAATTTGTAACGCATGTTTTTTCTCGGGTTCTCGAAGCTGGTCCGATAGGAAGTTTTGGAGTTGCAAATCTTGGTGCTCGGACATCCTTGTCATCTTGAGAATGATGTTTTGTAGGGATGGACACGGTTCGATTACTTGCAAATATGCATGTATTTGGTATTCGAACCGAACCGAACCAAACAAATACCCGAAATTGCAAACTATATTCAAACCAAAATTTTCAGTTAACCAGATTTTTAGTTAACAGAAAATATTTTCAGTATTTGCAAATAATTCGAACCGAATCGAAATTAAGAAAAAATATATTAAAATTCTAATTAAATAAAAATATTTGCAAATATTCTAAACCGCCAAAAACACCCAATAATATAAATAAATAAATACAAGGATTTACTAAACCAGTCAAAACAAGTTTATGTAGAGTATTTAAAACAAAAATATTAAAATATAGAAACTAGAAGCCAATCCTAATGGCATTGTCATAGCTATCCCCCTAGCACATAATAATATAAATATCCCAAATAGATTTTTATCGCATAATATGATCGTAAATTAATTCCGTGACATAGAAAAAGACAACAATTCCGCATAGTGTAACTATTAGATGTTGCAAAGAAGGCAACCGAGTATGCAATAGAATGAACCAAGTAAGGGAGAGATAAATAATTAAATGGAATAAATTGCTCAAAATGTTAAAAAAATGCCAAATTTGCACATTAGAATTTCTATACCAATTTGATTGTCTCAATGAACATAAGAACTAAAATTACATATTAATTTCTTATTAGAGAATGCATTCTTAAGATGCTGGTGAATGAAATCTACATTGCCAAATGAAAATTATATGCCAAAAAATGAAAAGTACATACTTCCTTGTCTCTGGAACTTGCTTTCTTTTTTTTTTTTTGGATGACGTGGGAACCCGTAGCCGCTACCCGAAAGTGCAAAGTGGGTAAACCCCCGACCGAACCTAATACCCTGCAAACCAGGCCTGACGAGAAAGTCGCACTAGGCGAACCATGCGTGGCTCTTGTGGTTTCTTCCAGGTTCTCTGAACCCCTTGCTGCATTTAAACTTGGCATAGTTTCCTATGTCATAAGCAACAAAAATAAATTAGATAAATGAAAAATTTGCAATAACCTGGTATGACAACTAAGATACACACACAATAAATTAGAAACTGAAATATTGGGGTGTACTCTTGCCGAAGACTTAGGATCTTTTGAACTCATCACAATGTCCAATGAGATATGCAACAAAAATAAAATTACAGACCCAAAATAAAGTAATCTGGTAGAATAACTTCAAATATATGAATAACTATTTTTGGTGGAAATTGAAATACAATTTTGTCATTTTTTCTTGCTAAAGATTCTAGTGAAGGCCTCTCCCAAGCTTGCTTTTTCCACTATCTTATCTCTTGTATCTCCTGATTTTTCTGTCTGATCAAGTGATTTTGTCACTTAATCACTTGAACCAAACATCATTAGTACAGGTTAATTATTTATCAGTCAAGGCACCACCATGTCAGCTTGCTATTCAGTTATTTGCTACAGAAACATATTCTCCTTCAGAAACATTATGAGCAGTATCAAGAGATACCCTCTCTCTGCTAATCGAATTCTTTATCTTCTTATCCAAGCTAGCCTCATATTGGGTTTGTCAAGGTAAATTTACAGCCTGCTAATGTGCTTCTGATTTGAGTTGTTGCAAGCTTACAAAGTGCTGGAACCAGTCAATGCATTTACATAAAATGGACCCGAAATCAGTCAAGCCATACTGATAAGTGAATATTGTTGAATAATTTAAGTTATGGTTGATTGGGGACTATATATGGTAGTCCTGCCACAAATAATCCAAAACACTTCTAAGGTTAACAAGTTGTAGTTAGGCTCTACAATTTAAGTTAATCCACACTAATTATATAGTCATTGTGTGGTTGTAATAATCCCTTAAATCATACCTTTATTTATGCCAGATATTTCCTTGGACAATTTACAGTCAGGAAAACATGACAACATCAACAAAATTGTACTACAGACTACAAACTAGGAATTATTAACCATATAGCAATAATATAACATAGTAAGGATGTAAAGAAGTGTTCATATTAAAATTGTAATCTATAGCTTACAGATCAACTGGTCAATTAGAGTAAACACATTCTTACTTTGGGGGGTATGATTATTAATTTATCAGTTATCGCACAGAGTAAACATGCTGTAACTAAGAAGATAAAAGTATACCAGTTGATGGATATCGTGCAGACTGTCATGCTTGTCTAAACCATTATCCTCTCGACAAATAGAGGATAAAACTTCATAAAAAGTCACACACAGAAGCACCTAAAGATTTTCTTGCTTGCGTCAAATAAGGTCGCATCTTGTCAGCTGTATTCTGAATAACTGTCACAGCCAATTTCTTTGCAGCTGGAAAAACGTCATATACGCGCATCCTTATCAGCAAAACATGGAACATGTGAAGGGATGGAAAATTTTGGAGAAATGATTGGCAAAGACAGAAAAAAGAAAAACCTTATTATTCTTTTTCAAAGTAGCCAAAATTGGTCCGAGTAGATCTGTGGAAATATCTTCATTTCCTAATAGAACATGATTCATAATTATCTCCATATATGAAAATATATCTTCAGTATGATAATCCCTGAAAGTAGCAAATGAAATAAATTCCCATCTCTGAAAACATCTTACAAGATAGAAATTCAGAATACAAGAAAGAGTACTAAAGGCACAAAGACTTCTCTGTATCTTGCTAGCTTTCTTGGAGTGTTAATTATATACATATCACATTGTTGAATTCGTCCCACATTGGATATGATGTGGGAACTCCCTTTGACATATAAGGGTGAAGGGTCACTCCACCTATCACCAATTGGTTTTAAGTTGGAAGCCCGGATCCCTTCTTAACATGGTATCAGAGCCATGGTGTCCGTATTGGGTATTGATCCTGTATGAATTTTTGAGATTATCATCTCGACGGGGAAGTGTTGAATTTGTCCTACAATATGATGTGGAAACTCCCTTTGGCTTATAAGGGTGAAAGACCATTTCACCTATCACCAATTGGTTTTTAGGTTGGAAGCCTGGATCCCTTCTTAACAAACATGAATAACAAAAATAAAAATTGATTTCATACATTTGATATGTTTGGCTGTGTTTTTTTAACATATGTTGTACTCGGATTTGGTTATATAGCAATGACAAGTACAATGATAGTTTAAGGATAGTTAAATCTAATATGGTAATGTGTGTAAGTTTGAACTAAAGGAAGTGGTGACAAGATAATCAGCAAAGTGTATTCCAGTTACCATTTAAACTTTATTCTCACTATGTGGAGTTGTAAAGTCCTGTAAGCCACATCAAATAGAGTATAATGATTAACTTTCAGGATATATTAGGGTTTGTACTTGTGTACCGTGTGTGTTTTAAGTTTTTGGAATGTTGGGTTTTGTTGTTCCAGGATATGTTTTGAATGAAAAATGAATATTAAAAGTGATGTTTTTGTAGGAAAAAATTGGTAGGTTAAATAATATAAAAACATGTATAAGAAACAATAATGAACCCTTAAATATCGGCCACGTGCATGTGTGTGTGTTATCTCGAACCTAAATGAAGTTGATTGCAAGATAATAATTGGATTTGATATTTTATTTTTTTTCGTAATTTTTTTTATGATGAAAAAAAATGTTACATTTGTTGGCGGTATTAGAGGTAATAGTGTTTGCTAAGCCTATTGGGCTTAATTTATGTACATGCCTATCTTGTATTGTTTTTAATTAATTGAAATTGATTCTCAATCAAAGACTTCCTTCATGGTATTAAAGCAATCAATTTTTGTAGATTTACCATCCCAAGGATAGCGACAATTTTTCCTTTATTTTTCCTATAGTTTCCAAGAATGTCATTGACGATCTTTATACTACTTGGGATAGAGGTCATTGTCCCTATTGTACTTTTCTTAATAGATGGGCGCTCAACAAGGAAAATTTTTGTAAGTTACATAGGCGCCTGCCTAACTCAACCTAATATAGTTTCTATTGATCTTCCTAATGAAGGCTGTTTTGCCCATTCCTCAGTTCTATCCATTATCATGATCACTATACCTGAATATCCGCTATTTCTTTATCACCCAACCTCTAGGCAATCTATACCATTTTCTACCGGTATCATTCATTTTGAGACATAACTCAGTTTTATCGGATCATAACTTTGGTAACCTTTTTTCTTATTAATTCACCTCTCATCAATCTAATTTCTAGCCTTCCATTACCTAGGCTATAGGCAGAGCTATTGCCATAGCAATTGGTACTACTCATCTTCTTCATATGTAACTTGATTCTATCTTATATGTGCTTGCATGTCTATCTAATACTCTTTTTCGTCCCAAATATGGTTTAACATTTGATTTTAACAAAGAAATTTAGGCGGGTAGTATTAAGTAGGATAGTTTGAAAATTACGAGATAGAGAAGTGTATACTTATTTATTTATTTATTTTATTTGAGTGATGTGGTGAGATAAAGTGTGGTATAGAGATTAAGCATAGTCAATTATTTCTTATTCTTGGTGTTTGAGACAAAGAGAGGACTATTTATTATAAAATAACTAACTTCGAATTTTTCTCACGTGGTGTTGATTTTTTTAATATACAGAATGGTTAAACAAGTTGGATGGTCGGCATGAGTTGTAAGTCATGTGAGCTTTACTACTTCACTTTCAAACTCATTGTTTGTGTCCCTATAACCACCCCTTTGGCGATCCCAACTTGTCTAAGTTGAAGTGTATGCCTTCCCAGTTGCCTTTGATCTCATCATTAGAGTGTAAATTGTATCAAATTGGTAAACATTGTTCCTTGTTTCCTAAGCAAGCCAATATGGTTATTTTTGCCCTTTCTTTGGTCAAAGATGATATTTGGATCCAAATTGTATTTTTTTTTTTATAATTTGGTCTTTAATATTGTCACATTTTAGGAAGATTTTCTCATTATACATGGCTTTATTAATGAAAATCATTTAAGGTTGTTTTCCATTTATTCTCCATTCTGAGCAAAAATTGAAATTCAATTTGGTTTGTCGGTTAAAGTTCCAAAAAATGACAATATTCTTGAATTGCTTTTCCCATATGATTCAAGACATGCCATCCGACGGCCTCATCCAACAATCCTTTTGTGCTTATACTCTTCCTTAGAATAGGATTATTGAGCAGAAAAGTTGGCGTCTCGTTAATGGCCCGAACTCTCCTTGTACATCATAATAAAACCTTGCATTTTTTGGCCAATATGATGCTTATTGCATCCTATCTCATTAATCATATGTCATTTTTATGTCCTTCAAGGTAAGGTTCCTCACCCATGCTCATTTTTTGTTGATCTCATGTTTTCATTACCTCCCCACGTCATTAGATGTAGTTGTTTTGTCAATGATTACAAATATGGCCTTTTGATAAACTATCTTTGCACTCTGAAGTGCATTTTCTTTGATATCCTCACATTCAAAAGTGGTATAAATGCTACTACCCTACTCATCGTCAATATTTTGTAGTTGTTAATGTCATCATTTTTAGTCATCTCCATTGTATTCTCTTTCCTCTTCACCTCTTCCTACTTACAATGTCATTCCCTTGCCATATACTTCCCTTTTTATTTCTTATCTCAAGTTTACTTCTGATCACGTTTACCATTGTTAAGTTGATCAAAAATCCCTTCACCTACTTTTGGTATATTGACAAAACTTCTTTCTGTTGCTGTGGTCGTTAGTTAGCACAAACAACAACATTATCTAGCCGGAGAAGTTCGTCGGTCGAAGGGAGATCGGAGTCCCGATCAGGGGAACATTCAAAATCTAAGCAGCCCAGCTAGATGTTAGTTGTCAGTACGCGTTTGTGACAACATATGCTTGTGGAGGGAATTTCCTAGGTAATTAGCTTGTAGTTTGGGTTGAAGGATGTTTGGGTGTTTTGTTCTTAATCAGCACTGATTAATGAACCTCTTATGGATTGGTATCCCCGGATGTAGGATGGTTTATATCCGAACCGGGTAAACAAATAACTAGTCATTTATTGCTTTGAAATCCTTGCATTTATTTCATTGACAAATCGCCGTTATAACTGTGATATAATTACGCTTCGGGAGTTGGCCCATTTGAATAAGTGTACGAGAATTTATTGGTGCAGCACTTATTTTCAACCCAACATTTGGTATCAGAGCAGTGTTCTCTAAGTTGCTGAATAGATTCTTTCATAGTTGCAAAGATGAGTAAGGAAGGTCGATCTATGTCGAGACCTCCATTGTTCGATAGAACAAGTTATCGAAGTTGGAAAAACAAGATGAAAGCTTTTCTGATGTTACAAGGTGAAAATGTTTCTGTTTCTGAAGCTGTTGAGTCTGCATGGTCTCATCCCATGAAGACCATCCAAGATGAAGATAATATCATTTCTCTTGTGAAGAAACCAAAAAGAGAATGGACCCTCAATGAAAAGGCTGTTGCAATCACCAACTCGAAAGCTCTTTTTTCGATCCGTAGATGAAACTCAAGCGAACCTGATATCCAACTTCAAAGTTGCTAAGGAAGCATGGGACATTTTGGAAAATGCATTCGAAGGTTCTGTGCAAGTTCGAGAATCAAAGCTGGATCATGTTGAAACTTTGTTCGAAGGAATGAAGATGAAACAATCGTTGTTTATCATAACCGATTCATGGATGTTGTGAATCAAACTGAAGCTCTTGGAATGCACTTTAAAGAAAAGAGACTGGTGAGGAAAATGCTTAAAAGTCTCACAAAAAATTTTAGACCCAAGGTGATTATGCTCGATGAACCACCAAAACTAAGAAATATGACATTGGATGAACTGTATGGTACATTGGTGAGTTATGAAATGAACTATCTTGAAGATGAAACACCTAAGAGTGTGGCTTTAAGTGCTGAAGACTTGGAGATGATAGAATCTGATGAAGAAATGACTCTGCTAAGTCGTAAACTTTCTCGAATGATTAGTGAGAAACGAGCTGCCAAGCTGAAGCATGGGAAGTTTCATAACAGAAATAGCTATCAGGGATGAGGTACATCCAGTTCTCAAGGAAAATACCCTGAGCAAAAACCAACTACATACAGCAAACCAAAAGAAAGATTCGATGGTGGATTTAAGAAGAAGTTTGTAGTGTCTGCAAAACCTGAGACGGTTCAAGAACCTACATGTTATGGATGTGGCGGTGTTAGACATATTAAATCCGAGTGCCCAACGGTAAAGAAAAGGGAGAAAATAGCATATCAAGCTACTTGGAGTGACAATGAAGATGGTGTCTGCTGGTGGTGATGAACAGACTGAAAATCGTGAAGTTGTTGCATTTATGGCAAATGCTGATGAATCCAGTGATGAAAAGGAAGAATCCAATTTTAAAACTACTGATGAGTCAAGGGAACTTGATGCTATAAGCTGATTAAGGCTTATGAAGAGATGGTTGTCAAACAAAAGAAAGTTGTTGTGAAAAATAAAGAACTTCTGGATACCATTTATCGTTTGGAAGATCAAAAGGAGAAACTTGAAGATGAAGTTGAGAAGTTGATGAAGATTACTGATGATAAATCTGCTGAATCAGAGAAGTTGAAGTCTGAGAATCTGAAGTTGAATGATGAAAATGATAGGCTTC